TATTTCAGTAAAAATAAAAACATTAAGACCTAGTAAGAAATACTGTCTCTTGAAGGAAAAATTCTAATGTAGTGCTGAGTTTTTCACTTGGCATTATTTACTATTTCAAATTATAGCTCCAGCAGCTTTCCAAAGCCCACAGAATCCCAGAATGAGTAAGATTGGAAAGGATCACAGCAGGTGATGTGGTGCAACCTCTCTGCTCAAGGAGGGTCATCCCAGACCACATAGTACGGGATTGTCTCCAGATGCTTCTAGAATATCTCCAGTGAGGGAGAGTCCACAACTTCTCTCAGCAGCTTGCTCCAGTTCTCACTCACCTACAGAGAAAAGAAATTCTTCTTCATATTCAGGTGGAAATTCCTGAGCATCAGTTTCTGTACATTGCCTCTTGTCCTACTGCTTGGCACCACTGGCACCACCAAGAAGAGCCTGGCTCCCTCCTCTTGGCACCGTCCCTTCAGATATTTATAGATGGTAAAGAGGTCCCCTCTCAGCTGTCTGTTCTTGAGGCTGAACAGGCCCAGCTCCCTCATTATTTCCTTGCAAGAGAGATGTTCCAGCCTCTTTGTTGTCCTTTGCTGGATTCATTCCAGGAGCTCCATGTAAGACCTGGCATTTAACCAGACCAAACTGATGTACAAAGCTATATACAGTACAGAGGCATGGCACTCAATTTATTGGTGTAAAAATATCATCCAGTTCAAAATGAAAGGACACAGATAGGATAAATTATGGATTTTAGATGCTGTCGATTGATTAAGGATTGCTGTTGGAGTAGGATTTTATGTTCATTGGACGTTGCAGTTAGAGCCAAAGGGGCGGGTGCTGAAGCGATGGACCCAGCAGCTGCCACTGCACTTTCTGGAGGTAAAGCTTTCATTGTTTTCCCTGCATCCTCATTTCCCCCTCATTAGAAGGGGGTTTTCAGTAATTTTATGGCAGATCAGAGCCTTGTGCTTGATGAAAAGACAAATCAGAACATTCACTATCTAGTCATCCCTTAACACCCTACAAATAAAGGTTTTACAACAACCTGCGAAACAGAAGGCTGAATGAGTAGCAGTGTTTGGGCAGCATGAACACAGAGCTTCCATGAAACAGCAGTGGTGACCCAGCCCCAGGCTCCAATGCAGGTGTTCCACAGAGCTGAAGGACACTTGGGAGTGTTCAATGCTTCCCATGGGAGATGCTTGCCCAGCCTCTCCCCACACCTTCCCTCCATGGAACCTGCAGCTATCCCTGAGCCTGTGCTTACCACAAAAATGTAGCTCCTCCTCACTGTCTCGCCTCCCTCTCCACAGTGAAGCCACAACCAACAGCTTCCTGGCCTCCCATCCAGGAGCCTCCTGGCAACCTTTTGCCCCCATGCACGCTCCAGACAAACCCCATATGCTTCACACAGCCATCAGCTCTCTTTGATGCATCTCGTGGCATGTGATCCATAAGACTGTTAACAATAACACAGAGGTTTATGGTTCTGTATGAGTTGTTTCTGGATTAGTCACTAATGCACTGAACTCCTTTTCATCTTCAGTGGTAACTACCTGAAGCATCTTGCAAACCCTAGTCCAGTCATCTCAAGACAACATGGATGTTGCAAGTGCCAGAACAAACGCAAACCTTCTTTCACGAAGAGCCCTGAGCCCTGCTCACTTGGACAGCCACTGCTCTTATTTCTGGTGCTGGCATTGTCTAAACAGCCTGATCAGATACATTTTGCCATAAAGGCTGTGACAATCAACCACCTCCTCTGCTTTTGTGGATATATTCCTAATCCTCAGCATGCTCAGGCACCTATGGACACCCATTTTTCCTTCAATCCTGGCCTTACAATCCTGCTGTTAGGGGCTGGGCATGGGCAGAAAGCCACAAAGAGCCAAAGCTTGTCTTCCAGGAGCACTATGATCACATTCACTTTTAAGCAATCTGCTACTTTTCAGAAGGAATAGGATATCCTCAGATCCAGATAATAGGAGGCTGAACCAGGGAGAGACCGAGTTCCATGGAAAAAGCTGCTCTTTTGCCTTGAGAACTTGGAGTTTTTAGAGGAGTTTGTGGCTCACAGAACCTCATGCACTGCAGTTGCATCATAGCAGGAGCCCCGAGGAGACTGAACCAAGGCAGAAGCACTGCCACAGAACAAAAATAACATAGCTTTATGGATAGGGATGCTTTCTTTCTGTGAGATTTCTGATGTGTCTGAAGTTTCTCTGAAAAACAGCATGTTTTGTAACTGTAGGTAATGTTATTTGCTCAGTTTTCTAACTGTAGATAATGTTATTTCCTCTGCACCCTGTTCTGAACAGAGATCCCCAACATATGAGCACTGAGCTTCAGAGAGTATGTACGTAACAAATGAGCAAAAAGTCAGACTCCAGAGAGTGCTTTATTCTTTGTGAATTGTTGGAGCTGTTCTTTGTATTGTACACATGTTTTAGCAATCTGGGACTTTCACAAATGGTGGGACTCTACGAAATAAAAACTGATCAATAAAAAGTGAATATGCTGTTCAAGGTCTCTAATTATTCCTATCTCAGATAGATCTGAAGCATGCCATTTTTTCCCCCAGGAATTAGTAGTGATCTCATCAAATGTTTCATTCAAAGCATCCATTGCACTGAAAATTTCAACACATTTCCAATCCAAAATGAAATTATCCATTGCTACCCACACCAGAGTATGCTGCATAGAGAAGTGACAGAGTGAAGAGACATCTTAAGTGTAAATTCCCAGAATTTTTTTTTAAATTAAAAACACCAGAGGTACTTTCCAGGCCCAGACCAAAGAGGAATTAGATGTTTAACTTTTCTGGGTTTGTATGACTAATCTTGCTGCCACTCAGTTGAAACTTTATGAATGCTGAGAATGAAATATAAGTATATCAGTGTCTGCACATGTTAAGCATACTTATGATTTGAATCAATTCACTAAATTGAGCACATGGAACTTACATGGTTTGTTCTGGAAACAAAAGTTTTTCCACACTGAAGGATGTGAAAACTACTTCCCTATCTAATGCAATTCAGTACATCTGTGTGTAATTACATAAACACGTCTCAGACCACAGAGCACCACAGCCAAGTCTCATAGCAGTTACATTCATTAAACATCAGACCATGTGATCTTCCCTGGACCTTCAATATTTGCCTGTTTGTAAGATTTACTGAATATTCCCTATATTTTCTATTTAGAGCAAGAGTGGCTGACTGAGAATTAATGACATTATCCTTGAATAAATGACAAGTCAATGTTTCAGGGCTGAGCAAGCATGCCTGAAGTCACTAACAGAAAACATAAGAACTGAAAAAACATTGCTGCTTTAACTATATCAGTTAGCTGAAACTGGACTCAAAAACAGTTTTCTTTAAAATGTTTGCGATCATTGTACCTTCATATAATTCCATCTTATGCTCATTTTCCCATGAGCTCAGGATGCTATTTTCTGCTATTTTCCTTCAGGGGTCAGTAGCTGGAGTTGCTGCAGAGTAACCATAGGGATGCTAAGCAGTGGTGATTTCCAATTTGCAGATGTAGTAGCTCTTAGCAGCAAGCACTGTCCTACTGAAGAAGACTCCTGCATGCCTGAGGTTGTAGGTCTCTACCCACAGAGATGTAAATCTTGTCAGATCACCCTTTGCTTGAAGATTTGATTGCATTCAAGTTCATCTTGGTTCTTATAGTGGTATCTGGGAACTGGGTGAGGACAGGACAGATTTTGTAGGCATGTACAGGCAGTTTGTCCAAAAAGATGAGTGAAATCTGGTTTATACTGAAGCTGCAGCAGATATACTGCCACAAGACTGGAATAGTCAATTCTGCATTTTGAAGACTTGCTCTCTAATCAGTGACTCATGTATATCATCCCATTCCTATCATCAGGAGAGGACACACGCAGTTTGAGCATATTGTTTCAAGACTGCAGTTGTCCAGCCCGGATGTGGCCTGTGCATAGGTGAGCAAACTACTAAAACCTGTCACCATAAGTGGTGTGTGGATGCTAAACCACCTAGTAGAGCTTGTAACAGAACATGCTTTTTGGTCACCTCTTGCAAACACTTGGTAGCTTGCTTGGAACAGGTAGGAGATGAAAACCAGCACTTTCCAAAGTTAACAGCCTGCTGAGTACTTAACAAAACTTTTCAGCATGTTGGTCTAGGCTCAGAGCAAAATTACAGTGCTGAATACAAAAACAAGGTTTGTGTGTTGACAACTTCCTAAAGAGAAAGCATCTCACCAGCCATGACAGCAAGAGACCTGCTCCCACTGATACCATACCTTTGTTAATAACCATACCTGTGGTGCAGCAGATATTGCCAGTAGCAGACAGTGTTGTTGCCATACAAGCAAACATCATACTTGAAAATTGTCTCTACTGCTTTTTGGGTCCTTGAGAAATACGAGTGCTTTAAGTGGTCTTCGTGCTTCATAATAGGCTTTTGTGCTGCTGGAGGCACTGATGGCTTGTATAGCTGTAGGTAACCTCCTCAGAAATCTTACTACTGATTGTAGATAGAAATGCTTAGCCATTTCAGCTACTGAACTCCAAGTGTTGTGCAACATACATCTTTTCACTTGATGCAAGTACATGCAAAAGTGGCTTCTAGGTGCTCCTGAAATCCAATGAAATCTGACTATTTCACACTAAAAACTTATGGAAGGCAGGGGGTGGGGAAGAAGAAACAATTTGAACCTGGTTTTGTATAATAAAATATTTATTCTAATGTGGAAAACTATCTGTTGTGCAACCCCGTGCCTTTCCAAGGATGAGGGCTCGGCGAACTTGTAAACTGTACCTGTGACTGGGGCTCCCAAAAGCCTCTTGCCGACATCGGCAGGAGATTCGAAAGTTTCACAGGAGAACTGTGGCTGTTCCAGAAACACAAAGTTTCACCCGCGGCAGCCTCCGCGGCAGCCTCCGCGGCGGGGAGCGCGGCCGCGGGCGGGCGGGGCGCTACACCTGGGCCCGCCCGGCGGAGCCGCGCAGGCGGAGCGGGGGCGCGGCGGCGCCGCGCTCCGTCCAGCCGCGCCCGCGCAGCCCCCGCAGGTAAGCGCAGCGCGCCGGGCCGGGGGCGGAGCGGGGCGGGGGGGTCCCACCATTCTCGCCCGCCAAAAGGTGCCTGCTCCCCATTCCCCGAGGGCTCCGTGCCCACGGCGCTCGTCGCCTCCTCTCTTTGGCTGCTTCTCTCGTGTTTCCGAACCTGGTCTGAGTCCCGCGGCGCGCAGTGCTGCGCCGGGCGGCGCGACTGTCGGGTCCTCTCCGGCGAAGGGCTCCTTCGGGATGGGCTCGGGTCAGGCTGCTATTCCTGCTGGACTAAGGTCTCCGGGGCTGGCCTAGAATAAGTGATGGGCACTTGTTTGATTAAGGAACGCTAACAGGACTTACTTAGGGTTTGACCTCATATTTTTCTTTTTTCCTTCCCCACCCCTCCCCGCCTTTCGTCACCCCTTCCACCCCGAATTCACTTTGGAGTTATTTATACCAAATTAAGGCAGTGGAAAATGTCCCAGATAAAAAATGGTTGCCACCTCTCTCTCCTGACTTTCTCAGTCCTTCGGACGAAGAGCGTGCTCAAGTCCGATGGGAGCACTGTCGGTGTACCCATGATGTTTACAAAGGTAAAGGATAGGGAGAAGATGAATGACAAGCACAAGGGTGTGATTTATTCGAGAAAGACCGGGAGCGGGGGGGAGCAGGAGGGAAGCTAGAGGACAAAAGCCGTTAGCAAACTGAAGTGAGAAGACAAGAGGTGGAACCAGAGGGACCAAGTTTCTTCCTCTCACTTCTTTTCCTATGTTCTTTTAAAATAGCTCCACAGTGGGAACGATACCAGAAAACTGCTTCCTATGGAAATATGTGCAAAGTTTTCATTATCACAAAAATATGTTGGAATGTCTAAATTTAATTTTCTTGGGGATATCTCTGTGAAACAAACTCACACCTTCACAGATTTCAGTTGTCTGTGAATGTTAGAAGCTGCCTAAATCTCCCCCTTTCTTCTTCTTTTTTTTTTTTTTTTCATCCTTATTTGCTCCAAGTTTGGGTTGGTTTTCTGTGTGTCGTTTTCTTAATTGTTGTTTGCTTGTTTGGTTGGTTTTTTGTTCGGTTGGGGTTTTTTTGAAGTTTCAAGGCAAAATAACTTGGGGGAGACCCTGTCAGCAACTTGTGTTCTCAAAGCATCGGGGCATTGGGGTAGCTGCAATCTTTTTACTGCTAAGAACTGCTGCAACTCTTATCTTTTCAAAGAAAGTTTTTGCATGCTAGTTCAGGTTTGCTGTGTTGTACCATTTGGTCTAAAATGAATCACTTTCAGGTCTGGGAGTCATGTTTCAATTTGGCGGCCAGGGCTGTGTGCCGTGCAGCCTGTTACTCTTGTGTGCGGATGGGATACACTGCAGTATAAAATAATATTTCTGGCAATTTCAGCAGCGGACTGAAGCAATACTCTGTGTGCACAGGCTAAGTGAGGCTCTGCCCTGCAGCTTGCTATTACTGGCTATAGGCGTGCCGCATGTTTTCCCTTAACTGATATGGGCTCGGACTTACCAAGCAACTTGATAGGCCTGTGTTTTACTGTTGTTTTTATTAAATATTAACCACACAAAATTAAATGCTGTTTTGCTCCAGAATAGATTGATGCTGTCTCATGCTGTGCAGTTGTTCATGAATGGTGGTTGTTTTCCTTTTTGTACATCAAATAACCAAGGGAATGTTACTTAGGAATACTGAGAAGCACTGCTGCATGATCAGTGTGCTGCTGTCTTTATCACTCCCTGTTACAGATTGCAGTAGTTAGACCCTTGGCTGCTATAAAGCTTGTTCTGAGAACTTAGCAGTAGTGGTGCTGGTTGAAGAGAGGAAAACATTGGCTGGTGTCTGCTTTCTCTTCCTTTGCTCTTCAAAACAAATATTGAGGGTCAAAAGGTTAAACAGCTTTTGAGACGAAACACATGGAAAATGCAAAATTAAAGTAATGCTGCACTGCGTACCCAGCTTTAATATGTGAACTCCACATGTAACAGACAATCTTATCACTCTGAGCAAAAATACTTTATGGTCATGTGGTTTTCATCAGTAGCTCTGGAAGATTGTAACTGAAATATAATTCCTTCCCTGCTTAAAAATGGGAAAAAATAAAAATTTGTCTTCAACTTGGTTTTATAGTGTCACACAGTTAAACTATTAGGGAAATCCAGGAGAGGTTGTTGAAGAAAGTGTTTTGCTCTGCTTTGTACTTACATGTGATTCACTTTGATATCACTGTGATGAGCCCTTAATAACATGTTCATGGATAGTTAGTTGTTTCCCAGTGGCCTATCCATATTGAGCTTGCTTTGTCTCTTATTCAGAGGTTTAAATCAAAGGCAAGTAATTCTTCTGAGCACTTTATTCCTTTAGGAGACCACCACTGTCTTCCCTTTGAATAACGAGCAGTTTGGGCACTGTCAGAGGTGAGCTGCCTTCTCCAGATGTCAGAAGAGCTGGCTTTGAGCACCTCTAGGTGGTGACCTGCCAGCACTTACTGAGTACTGTTGCTGTGTATCTGGCTTTTTTTATCATATGGATGCAGAGATAATTGAATGCAGCTCTTTTGCCATCAGGGCTGAGTGGGGAACTCCTCACAGGCTGTCACTTAGGGTCTTGCTAATGCCCAAGAATATGAGGAAGAATTTGAGAGTGGTAACCAGTACTGTGTGGCAGTTGTCCTTTTCACTGTTGTTTCCCTCACAAAATTAGAATTTGCTACGTAAGTGCAATTTCCTCCCTTTCAGAAACAAAAGTGCATGTAATTTAAGGAACACTTAAATTCAGCTTAAATTCATCTAAATGGGGTATTTACAGAGTTCCTGCTACACATAATGCCAGGGAAAAATGCATACAACTGTTTCACTGAAAGAAGAATAGAGCAATCAATATGTGATCCCTCCAACACCTTCAGTTACTGGATTAGCTCTTTATATGTCATGCATTTCACTGCTTCATCTTTCACAATGGGCTGTGTTATTTTTTCTATCAGTTTTGTAGGGTAAAAGGAAAACCAACTTTTGAGAAAATAAAATGTCTTTTCTTTTTCCATCTTTCCATTTCCTTTTCTTTAAGATTTATTTCAGTTTAGGTATGGTCCTCATTTGTTGCCTTAGGAGTTTTGATAATTTGAAAGGAGAACGCTGCTCTCCAGAAGTGCTTGATCATAAGGGACTTGAGGCAGTAATGGCTTCAGCTGGCAGGGTTATCTAGCATCTGATGTGTTTTTGACTTTTTCAGGAGTCACGAGGTGATACTGTAGAGATGTGGCACTCCTCAGCAGTGATGCATTAGGGGTGAACTTACACACTTCTTGTTTTCCCCCCATCTGTTTTTCTTCATAGCCAAAGCAGAAGCTTAAGGCTTCATCCATGGCCCATAAATGTTAATGGCAAAATCTGTTTTGGCACTGAATGACTTTGGATCAGGGGCAAGGCTGATGGGTTGCTTTGACAAAAATACAAAATTATTCCCTGGGCAGAAGAAAGTTCTGTCAAGGAAATGAGAGCTGCTGTTCTACTTACATGTCAGGAAACCTGACTTTTGGTTTTCTTCATTTACATTTCAAGCTTAGTTTCTTTAAAACATGTGGAAGCATTGCCTGTGCATTCTTGCACTTCCATTGATGTACTGGTATATATGACAGTGAACATCTGAATGTCTGGTACCTTGGTTTGGTTTTTGTTGAAAGTAGGGGAGAATTCTGAGAAGTGCCTATCTTTGTGTACTCCTTCTCTCCTCCATTGGTGTTTCTTGACTGCCTGACACACTTTCCACACTCCCAAGCTGATTAACAGCACACCTGGCTTGCAAAATCTTGGTAATTGTTTGAGTGAAGGTTGCACTCTAGGATTAGTTTTCATTTTTTAATGACTGGTGTCTCTGTTGAAATGCTGTTTCTATTTGGGCATCACTGAGTGCCAGAAAAGAAAAGAGCCTTTGTGCTGGGTTGGGTAGTATATGCGAGATGGAGACACACATGGCAACTCCATGACCATGGCATTTCTCTTATAAGCTCTTGACAAACAACTTTGTGGTTGTTAAGGCATTGTATTTCTCTACAGAAGAGCTATAGCCTAACTTGGCTTCATGCAAAGTGTCCAGACTGGAATAGTTTGTGGATCATGTTTTTTTCATGATTTCCTCCTGGATCTGGGTCCTTCTTGACCCAGATACTGTAGGCAGTTAGGTTACTGCACATAAAGGGGAGACCATTGGTGCCTTTACCCCAGAAGTAAAGATGTATTTCTTCTTAAAAAGAAAGAGAATTTTCTCCCTTTGTTTCTGGCAAGCAAAAACAGCCAGACTTGCGGGGCTGCTGTGGTTCAAGGAGTCTGGGTAAGACATGCCTGCCCCTGCCAGCAGCACAGCCGGAGAGGGGGAACCACATCCCTCCTCCTCAAGCCACTCCCAGGATAAGTAGCCTGGACAGGGTTCTGGCTGGGGGTGTGTGCAGAGTGTTTTGCTTTCCAAGTGTCTTGAAGATTTGTGCTGGTAGACTTTGTGATGGATAATGGCCTGGCTGCTGGGGAAACAGGAGCAAAGCATTGTGCCTTACTGTTTCCCGCTCATAGATTCCAATGTGGTCTGCTGCTGAAATGATGGTAGGCAGTGTGGATCAGTGGCACAAGAAATGCCTTCAGCTTCAAAAGTGGGGAAGCTGGATCTCTTTTAGAAGGAAACATATTTTGGGACTACAGACAGTGTATTGCAGAAAACTGTATGTAGACTTTTGTGCTAACTAGATTACCTTTAATTTAGATTTCTTTAACTTGAAAGGCATTGGAACTGCCTTTTTTTTTTCTTTTTTTTTTGGCTTCCATGTCATATACTCTAGATAAAATTCAGAGGTCCTCTCATTTTCTTTCTAAAAATGCAAAGATGATAAATATGAGAGACCAATATTATCTTTCTGGTTTTGCTTCTGACTGTGACTAAGAGGCAGACACCTTATGAAGTGGATTTTTGAAACTGCTGGAAAAAAATGTCTATGACTTTGATAGTCATGTATGATAATTCTC